CTTTAGGGACATGGTTGGTATAAGCAGTATAGTGCTTGCTGATTGCCTGAAAGTCTTTCGCTTATGTTTATCCTTACGCTTATGCCAACCAAGTCTTAACTAGACAGTATAAGCATAAAAAGAAGGCAACGTTTTGATAATCTTATGCATATATGCTTATCCTTATGTCCGTGCGTTCCATCCAGCGCATAAGCTTTTACATGCCTATCCCTATGCTTGCATCGCAAGTAAATACTGAGCTCAATATTGGAACAATAGTTTTATGATAAACAAAACAGCACCCTTTTGAACTTTCATTCCACAAACCTTTACAGTAAAATCTGGAACAGTGATTGTCTTGCACCAAATCCTAATCAAGCCATATTTTCTGTCTTTGAGGCCTAATTTAGTTTCACATCATATTCCTCATAATGCTCATTTACCAGTCTAACGATTCATACCTTAGTATGGAAATCAAACACCCATTTCTATTGACGACACAAATTACATTGGCTTATCCAATTCACGAGTTGGCTCACAGAGCCTTTGATTGGAATAGAAGACAAGTTTAGACCATAATTCTGGATATAGCAATGAAGACCCATGAATGTTGGTAAGCAGTAACTTAATTTGTGATTATGTTACGAAGTTGTGATTCAAAGCCTAAGTTATCACTAGTTTTAACCTTTCTTTTGGTTATTTTAAATGCTGTGGGCTTGTTTCCAAAATTGAGATTATTCTTAAAGCTATGATCTCACAATACTAGTTAATAGATAATTTCTTCATGTAATTATTTCAGTTGATGGCTTCAATATAAGAATGCCCAAGGAATAGGAAAAGGAATAAAAAAAGAAAGATACTATATTTGTTTGGTGTCTATCGCCTACACGTGTATCAACCTGGGGAAACAACATTTAATTCTAACTTGAAAAGAAACATTAACAATGTTCAAATGATAAACACATCATAAGAAACTCTAACAACAAACCACATTGCACTAATTACTGGTAATTTAACATACAGAAAGTAAAAGCACATGACTTTTGTGGAATCAGCAGATTGTCAAAATGAATTTTAAGTCCTACCCAACACTTTTCCCTCTTGTTCCAATAACCCCATCCAGTTCCAAGATATGCCGTTCAAGATCACGCTTCTTTTTAACCAAAATTCTGAATTCTTTGGTTGACTCCCTGGTAAAATAATTATAAGAGGCAAAATAGATTAGTTACCCCACTAGATAAATTAATAAAAGTACAGTATTGTTGACAATCTTTCCCTAAGGAGACAAAGGATACAAAGGATACAAGACAAGTTATCGTATACATGCAGTTGCGGTAGTTACTAAAAGCATGGAACCACCCAAAACAATCCAAAACCACCCAAAACATTCTCATTCTAAAATTAGACATTGCTCATTTTTAGCGTCACGCAGAATTTTAGTCATATCCTGCATGTAATGTTTTTAGGGTGTTTTTTTGCTGTTCACACCCTTGTTGAAACGTGATCTGTATTACAATGATCAGGTATAAAATAAGTTCCTTCACCATCTTGTTCATACTCCCTGACAAAGTCTGTGTTATCAGACAAAACCGGTAGGCGAAAATAAAGAAGTTGACAAGATCTGTTGTTGTGTGCTGCTCACTAGTGTATATTTAAAAAAATAAAAAATAAAAAAACAAATAAAAAAACAAAACAAAAAATTTTAAAAATGTGGTCACCATTCTACATCACTCCAAGGACAAAAACAGGTGGAGCAAAACGTTTTTTGGATCACTTTCTGAAATTGCTTAGAAACCAGGCTCAACTCAGTAGCCAAGCCTACTTGCCCAGGCCTTTACATGACCATTTTCATTTTGGGTGGTTTTTAGGTGGTTTTGGGTGGTTTTGGATGGTTTTGGGTGGTTCCATTTTTTAGTAACTACCATACAGTTGCTTGTTTCTACTTGGATGAAAGTGGTACAATGCCTCTAATTAATTTTGTGCTTCACATCAAACCAAATCAAATTCATTTTGCTACATGTGAGTCTTTTAAAGTCATTGATATTTTTAACTTAGTAAAGTTAAGCATGGAGTGACAAAGTGTGACAAACAATTCTAAAATAAGCTTTGATTACATAAGTACAGCCAGAAATGTGATCTATGTGTAACCCTTTGTTGTTAGAGTATCCGTGAAAATATTCCTACGTGTCGTGTGGAATATGGAAACTTGTTCATGCTTTCTGTCTAAAAACACATAGGAACACTAGTTCCGCAGGATGTACGTAAGTGTCCTCCCATATCTGTGAAATTGCTGAGTAAGTGTCCTCCCATATCTGTGAAATTGCGTATATGTGGTAATTAATTTGTTTATTCCAAGGGAAACTCGTATTATCTTCTGCATTTTGTATCATGTATGATTTAGCTACCATTATGCACATAAGAACCTTGATTCAAGCAATAATTAGATTCAGTTGATTGTAAAGCAGTTGAGTGTCCTGCACCCCGTGTGTTAGCTCGCATTAAACCCAACGTTTGCCTAACCATCGAAACAGTGAAACAAATATAAAAGCGAAACAGCGAAACAAATATAACCATCAAGCAGCTCTCCTCTTTAGCCTACAAATCAAAGGCACTTTTAAATTTGAACTTTAATTCTATTTCTCCACAGACAGTGAACTTTGAGGATCCCAATTTTAAATATTTTTAGATCTTCTAATTTTGATAGGCTACTTTAATTATTTTATTTTTATTACTACATTTCATTTTATTCCATTTTACGCATGACCCCACAAGTCACTTTAACAATTAACGTGTTTAAATAAAGTCTTTGTATTATAATGTAACAGCTTGATGCTAACCGACCCTCAGCCGAAATTATACTACACTGGTGGCAGCGGTGGGATAGAAGATCCAAGTCTTTGCAGAACCCGAAGTTTGGAAACACAGCCACAAGGATTAGCGTGCGAGAATGTAAAATATTTAAAAAATATACATTAATAATTTATCGTAATTTCAAAAATATTATTGGAAAGCTCCAAAAAAGAAAATACAATAATTGTAAAATGTTCTAAAGTTTGGCCAGTTGGTCGTTTAAAAACCCAAAGATCTCCAAAATCAATTCAAGGATTTAAGATTTCCAATGTTAATCAGACTAAACACAAGGAACTGAAAATTTCTTGCAATTGTGTCTATATTGGATGATTGACAAATCCCAGCTTCTGACTGTTCTAGAGAAACATGGTAAAACTGCATTGTTGTTTTGTGTGTTAGCATTAATTTCTCCCTATTTTCTCACTGCTTTTTAATACTAATCATTATCTAATGCATGATAATTAACTAAAATAAATTACGTGTCAATGTACATACATGGCAAATTCTTTCCAGTGATTTTCTACTTCTACTGCATGTTGTGCAAACTCTATGAATCTAGTAATAAAACAATGAAACATCAACAAGATCCTTCACCACAATATTTCCTGTTTCAACCAATAAAATTAGACATCAAGACATTTTAACTGATTATTGAAAAAGTTTTATGGACACTCTGGGCTCTACATCACTCTACATGTTTCAAATACATGTACTTTACAAACTTTAAGGTTAAAAGGATTTTACATTTATACAGCACTGAAGCCAACAACACTATGCTCATTTTACCATCAAAATTAGTTTTTGCTAGGTGTTAGTTGTTTGTTACCAGCAACATGGCAAACAACTATTTGTACATAAACCATAAACTCCTTTTGTAAATATGCACCATATACTCATGCAGAAGGCCACGACAACAAATGAAGTGTTACTGTTTGTCTGACAAATGTAATTAGTGTCAACAGCATTCTGCAGGGTTGAGGTTTTTGGATAATCACAGTTGTTGTAAACTTAACCACACTCACAAGTTCAAGTCCACTGCCCTTTTGCCTCATGTCAATGGTCAATCTGAAAAATTTGCTACTGCCATACAAAACAAGGCATTTGCCCTGTTTTCAAGTTAGATACTACACTTCATTCACTCTTAGTTCAGCAAAGACAAGCTGTTGAACAGTTGAGCAAAATGTTTGATGAGATAATGAGTAATCAGTCAAACTCATCGTGTGGTGAAGACTAGCAGTGTGAAGACAAAACACAGTCATCCACATCAAAGTGGCTACGATGTGAGACAAAACATGATACTTGTCTTGAATCCATTGTATTTCACCAGCATGAATAATCACATCTTTCTTAACAGATTTTAGAATTGTTGTGATTGTACCCAAACATAATTATGTAAATTGTTTGCAAATATAAAATTATGAAAACTTGAGAAGATTTACCTTTTCTTTAAAACAATGAAGTGGGCCTCCAGTGATTTAGACATCACATGGGTAAAAGAATGGTTATGAACAGTCTTTGTTGGAAAAGTAGGAATGCTGATAATTTTACCTGTTTGAAACCAATCAGGGGGGAGAAATTATAAATTGAAGGACATAATTCTTCCACACAGGAAAATTGGCAAGTGGTGAAACCTGACTCCGACAGTTGTGTTACAAATGGCAAGGACTGACAACAAAAGCAATGAATTACAATGTGCACTGGGGCTATACTATAGCTTGACAAACAAAAAATCTTATGGTATACAGAGAAGAAAATTTTCATCCCAACAAAGTTTGATTTCTTTACTTAAACTAAATGTTCCACCATACATGTACTAAGTAGAAATAAAATATTACTTGATTTGAGAAAATCTTGGATCACAAAAATGTTTGAATTCTTAATTTCCCCAAATGAAAAAACAAATAAATGAGCTACTTGCTCATTAAAGTCCAACACTTTCCCAAGAACATCTATGAAACCACAGGGCAGATAAATCTGAAATGGTTGTTGGCTATCAAAAGAGACATCATTCAGCACAACCATGTTTTAAATCTCAACATCTTTATAAGAGATTCTTTTTGTGAGTTTTCATTTTGTAATTAAGTAGTAGGGAACTTGCTGGGGTATGTGCCTGGCTTGGCACTAGGAAAAGGAGGTTGGACACTCAATTAAAAGACTTACTTCTCCCACAAGACCAAATGAAATTGTTACATCAATATGTCAATCTCTCTATCAACTGAGTAACCCATTTGTATTCTGCTCTTCATGTTTGCTGTATGTTGTTTGTGGTGTGAAGTTTGCTCAAAGTATTAAAGTAAATACAGCAATCATACCTGTTTAAATTGTATACAAGTCTTACTAATAAACTCACCATGAGCACGCTGCATAACTTTTGTCAAAACATACAGAGAAAAATGATGAAGGAATGAGTAGAAACGATCTCCTGTAATATTAAAAAACCATAACACGTCATGTGAAGTATGTAACAATTTGAATATCTCTTTGATACATAACACAGTGCTAAGAAAAAGATTACCACAAACAAATTGAAATACAAAACACACTTATTTGTATCTCAAGACAGTGAGTAAAATACTGTACCGTAATGAGAAGGTCATCGCTATAAATTCAGAACTTATGAACACCAGAAATATTCATGGAATGTTTTTGCCTTGAAAGGTAAAGTTAAAGTCTGTTTACAAGCCAAGTAGCTTATAAGACTAGCAGTTAACTCTGGTTTCAGTAACATGAAGTGACTAAGAGTATTTCTACTCCCCCCTGGATGGGATGCTAGTCCATTGCAGGGTTACCCCCAGCATTAAATTTGCCAGTCTCATTTTAAACACCTGTGTGAAGAGAGGCACTAAGGCAGTAAAGTGTCTTCCTTAAGAACACAACACAATTTTTCTGGCCAGGGCTTGAACACAGACCACTTGATCTAAGGTTGAGCGTGCTGACCATGACGCCACTGCATCCCCTTTGAAAGGTATAATACTCCCTATCTGCTTTTGGATTAGTGGTTTGCTCACATGTTCTGATCTCCAATCTGGAGATAAACATTGCACGCACACACGCAGGTGCTCATGGCTTTCTGAGTTTGGTAGTAAAAGCCAATAATGACTACTCAACTACTGAATCATCTGATACAGAAACTAGATTTGTATTAACATGTACAGTCATGTACCTCCAGGAGAATGGAAAAGTGATTGGACTATCCTTGGTAATCTTGCTTCTGGATCTTCCTTTGAATTGTACCAAAACAAAAGTATCTAATTTTATTTATACTTACAAGTCATGTTTTATTGGTTTCGTGTGAAAATTTGAAAATGACTCATTACTCATGACTCATTCTTATATTCTTAACATAAGAATCACACATGGGGAATCCTACTTTGGCTTGATATTTTAACTTAATGGGGTTTTGACTTCATGATTTAGACTGAAAGTGTGTCTGACTTTACAAGAAATCTGTAAGTCACACAGACATTCATCATGTTTCATACTGTATGATCATTTTTATTTGATAATAAAGAAGGTAATTGAGAAGCTTTTCACTAATCAGTGAGTTTTTTGTTTCTAGAATATCCATTATCGCTTTTAGAGGAAATCATTCATGCTCACTTTTCACTATTAATTACCAGTCAATTCCAATAGAGGGTGTATTACTGTACCTTCTGTATTCTAGATACCCAGTTAAAACAAACTTTCCTAAATTGCTGTTCAAGGATCTTGTCACGGACTGGCCAACAATCCCTTTGCAAAAGTAATGAACATAAATGATTAAAGATAAAAAGAAAGACTCTTACAGGTATGACCACCAAAGACACATAGTTCCTGTGATGAAATCACCTATTGCCACCAATCTATCTCAGAATAAAAACAACTGTTAATTAAAATTGGGTCATTATGGTATCAAAGGCATTAGGCATTTAAGAAATGTTTACCTGAATTCTTCGTATGCCAACTGTGGATAAAGTCTTGTAAAAAGAAAATGCATAACCACCTCCATGGCCTTCTTGTTGGGTAATACAAACATATCACTGAAAAATGTATCTCAAGTCAGAGCTTTGATTGAATGGATAAACAAGATTATATGGGTTATTAACCAAGCATGAGGTCAAGATGGCTGGATATTGGCTGAGTTCTTTTTTGTATTTTTATAGACTGAGACAAAGTCAAGGTCTCTAAAAATGTGAAAAAAAAACTTGGTTAATATCCAGCCATGTTGACCTGACAAGCTTGGTTAATAAAGGAATTATTATATTGCACAAAGATTTTGCTTTAATGAGAATTAGGAATGACTTGTTTAGTTCGAGAGCCTGGAAAGAAAGCCAACTGTGTTCGTAGCACAACAAAGTCATGAGAGTAGCTTCTGTTTTCATTGTTTTGACTATCTTCTGCCACTTTTTGCTTTTCTATCACTGAAATTGTCCAAGAATTACGAACATAGTCCTAATTCGATTTTTTTTTTTCATGCAAAGGATCGATGTGGGCAATCCTGAGCAGGCAAGATGGGTTCATTTTGCCTGCTTGGGTAGCCAATCAGAACACAGGATGCACTTTATCTTGCCCATGGGCACTGCGAGCATTGTAATTAACTACAGATATTACACCTTGTGACATGTGCAAAACAACTAAAATATAAACTATATTGTCATAAAGAAATGGTTGATCAGGCGTTTTCATAACTTTTTCCATAAGTGGCTGCTGATGGTGTAATAGTCTACTAGGTAAAACCCAAACAAAAGAGCCTGCTTGCATGCTAAACAGATGGCAGTGAGAGATCTCACAGGTGGTGGTAGACTGCTGGTAATGGCTTTTAATTGAAACCCCTGTTGATGCAATGGGGTTTGTAGTTATAGAATCTTTTAATTGGGTGCAGAATCTATAGTACTCAAAAGTACATGGTGTCTATTTCTGATAAAGAGAGTATTGAATTCATGCTCAAGCCAAAGTCACATTTCACTTTGATAAATAGCATTGGCTGTATGTATAGTAACATTGCAGGAAAAAAACTGAGCCAAAATACATAGTCAATCTCTGATCAACACCAACCAATGTAAATGCTGCATTAAAAGCAAGGAGATGGCTACACCCAGGTCTGGTCAACAAGGATTGCCAGGAGTTATGAACCATAATAAAAAGTTACAAAATTACATGTGAGTACCCGTATATAAAGCATACACAAGAAGTTCTTCTCTCAAAGACAGCTCATGACATTAATTTTCTAATGGACAGCTGTTTTAATCCTTTTAAGCCTACATACTGTGTTCTCTTAGGGCTGGTGGGTAAATTATTTTCCATGCACGGTAGAAATATTGTATTCACAACATAGACGAAAAGAATGTCTGTAAGAGAACCATTCAGCTCTTCATTAACATCACGCAGTTAATGTTCTCCCTTCATGTAAACCCCTCTATCATTTCATTGTAGTCATTTCCAAACTAAGCAGACCAGCTAAAACCACGATGAAACAGTTCGCATGATTTTCTCTAATATAATTTTAAGACACTCTGATTGTCGCTCTTATCTCGTATTCAAAAGCTATTCAATTATGATCAGTTTTCAAGGCATCATTGTAATCTAGGACTGATTTCAAAACAAGATCTGTTAACTCTGTGCAAGAGATCTTGCTTAGATGATCAGAGAACGAAGCTATCCTTCTTTACAGCTTAATACTGTTGCATCTTAATCGATGATTCTAATCGTCCATAATAACTGCCTTACAGGTTGATTAATTGATATAGTGAAAATAAAAATACACATTCAACTGACCGATTAAACACCACTCTGTATTTGGACTCCATTTCTTCAGGGTTGAAATCCAACAGCAGCAAGTTGGTGAAAGTGATCTCGCGTATATCCAAATGGTTTGGCATGATTCCTACGGGTTTACTCGATTCAGCCATGAATCTATTGTAAACCACATATAATGAAGTGAAAGAGGACCAATTAAAAAAGAATTTTCAATCAAACAAGGAAACCGACAAAAATATTTGATCGGTTCGCGCCACAAAACTAAAGGAATGTCCCCAGTCCCCAATTTTAATGACAGTGTTCCGCCAAAAGCCTGGAAACAACTGTCCAAAATGGCCGCTACACAATTGCATAATCTTGTTTCGTCTTTTTCTCGTGGAATCACCAGAAATATTACTTGTAAAGGTATTCTTACAAACAAAAATATGTCGCCAAGACTCCTGGGATTTCATTCGTCGCGTTTTTTAAGTGAAGACGGAAAAAACACTGAAAAAGGTGAAGATTCTCAAGTACAAGAGGACAACGACCAGATGATCAAGGGTCCGACCGAGGAAGATCCCTATACTCCGTTTCCAGACGATATCAACCCCATAACAGGAGAAAGAGGAGGACCGAAAGGACCAGAACCAACCAGATACGGAGACTGGGAGAGAAAGGGACGTTGCATAGACTTTTAATGTTTCACTTCTTGACAAAACGGCGCTTCTGTGGAATTACTTTTAGTAATACTGTGCGAACTGTAGACCGTGACATATTTCTGTTTACTGGCTGTTCTTAGAACCACGGCTCAAAATCTTGTGACTGTATCATATGGTAAAGCAGTTAAAAAATATCACTCTCTTGGCATTTGATGCGCTGACCTGTTTTCGAATGAAAGCAAGTCAATTTCGGACGAGCTTGATCGTGATCGTGATCACAGCCATGATACAATGTGCCTATAATTGTTATACTTGTTTATCTGCTAGCGCGGAGGCCAGGAGGGTCACTGTCAGGAACAAATGGTTTGTTTTTATTCCGAGTCAAAACTTGATAGACAAGCGGGAGGAAGGAATTCTTGGGGTGATAAAGGAGACAGTAAACCTCTTCCGAAAATCTCTAATTTAAACTATAAAGGTGGCTCTGTCTCTGAGCCGGAAATGATTGCGGAATCTTCAAATAGCTTCTTTGTGGAATCTATTGCAAGTTTAAAACCAGGACAATGAGGAAGAGTGTGATTACTCCAAACTAAGAAACTTTATTTCATCAAGATCGGACTCTGGGGGTTCTTATGTTATCCCGCTAATTTCAGAAACGGAGGTTTCGAATATCTTTAAATCACTTGCGAGGAGTAACAAAGCTTTGGGTCATGATGGCCTCAGCTTGCGCATCCTGAAAGTTTGTTCATCAAACCTACTCTATCCTTTGTAAAAAAACATTAATATTTCCACTGCAAACAGTGTTTTTCCCTCAAGCTGGAAGATTGTGAGAGTGATTCCGATTCCTAAAGGTGGACTGTGCGATGACCTAAATAATTATAGACCAGTTTCGATTCTTCCTGTTCTTTCAAAGATTATCGAAAGTCATGTTGCAATGTCTCTCCTTACTGATTTTTACAAGAAAACAACCTAATGGCAGATATTAGATCTGAGCCCACGTAAAAGCGTCGTTGTGAAAATATACTTGTCGAAGCCAAGAAAGTATTACTTATCGCCATATAAACCATGTAAGTGAACAAACTCCAACTAACTTCTACTTTCAGCACACTACTGCGAAAACTTCAAAACTTTGAAGTTTTCGCATTAGTCTGTTGAAAGTAGAAGTTAGTTGGAGTTTGTTCACTTAAAAGCGGTTTTGTTTAAAGATGCACAGAATCGAGGCACTTGGGCCAAAGGCTTTGTAAATTCTCAAAGCTATCACTGTATATTTCAAAACAACTCGCATTTCAACGCTACTTTTTACTTTTATCGACAATCTGAAGCATTCAAAAGGCAAAGCATGATAGCAATGGTTAGACGTATTGCAATCGAATGCAACAACCGGAGGGATAAACCACATTGCAAGCCACTTTTGGGGCATTCACTGCCACTGACTGAGCAACAAGAAACTTCAGCTGGCGACTTGCTTAGTCAAGATCAAACGGGAAAACACGCTCATGAGTAAAAATTCCTTTTTATAAGGTGAAAAATTTGAAAAGGAATGCTTTTCCAAGTCATATGCTGGCTGGAAAGTCATCATTAATCGAGCGTCTTTCCTTCGGAGCCTTCCTTTCATTTTTCTGTTTGGAGAAACTGAATATTGTGGAACTGATTCTGACTTAAGACTTGCTTTCCGGCCAGCACACGATTTGGAAAAGCATTCCTTTTCAAAATGTTCACTGCATAAAAAGGAATTTTTACTCACGGGCGTCCTTTCCTGTTTGATCTTGACTAGCCAAGTCGCCAGAAGTTTCTTGTTGTTTAGTGGCAGTGAATGCCACGAAAGATGCTTGCAGTGTGGTTTATTGCTCCGGTTGTTGCATCCGAATGCAATACAAGGTCTAACCTTTGCTATCTTTGCCTTTTGAATGCTTCAGATTGTCTATAAAAGTAAAAAAAAAAGCATAAAATGCGAGTTGTTTTGAAATTCTAGCAGATTCATGCATAGGTCATATCAATACCTCACTACAAGATTATGGAATAATCTACCTGACTATGCAAGAAGAGCTCCTTCTCTTAATATTTTTAAATCAATGCTGGACGAGGTCAACTTGACTACCAGTGTGGAGTGTGAATGCAACTTTTGTACATAGCTTATTTTATCCCTGGCTTGTTCCCTCTTAGTTTTATTGATTCCTATTTATTTCCTATATCATGATTCCCATATGATTTTAAAGTTCCTTTTTATTACTATTATTATCATCATTGTCTAGCTTGTTATATATATTATTTTAACCTGGCACGTTCACGTTAAAACGAGTTATACTCAATTGTGAAATGTGGATAAATAAATTACTACTACTACTACTACTAAATATACAGTGATACCTTTGAGAATTTACAAAGCTTTTGGCCCAAGTGCCTCGATTCCATGTATCTTTAAACAAAACCACTTTTACGCAGGCTCAGATCTAATATCTGCCATTTACCGAGCACAGTCTGGTTTCCGCAGTTAGCACTCATCTCCATATTTCAGAATGATGTGATGTCATTCAAAATCTTCGTAACCTTCTTCGGAAGCGTTTGTCGAACACTTCGGGTTCATTCAAAACATGGCAGTAAACCAGGGCAAAGTACATTACCTTTTCTCAGAAATATAGGCGCTTGCCATTGCAAGTATATTGTGTCTCATTCCTTTGCCGAGCGAGACAACCTTTACGACCTCCATGGTTTTTGATCGATAACGTATAATGGCTCAGGTTTTCATCTTCAAGTACATCTTTTGCATGGACTTGTCAACAGACAATCGTTTGATAGTGGTTTCACAGGAAAAAATTTAAGATTCCAAGTTGGAATAACATTGGTAAATATGTGGTATGATAATCCAAGGTTGGCATATTATTGGTTATTTTTAAGGCTACCAATATTATACCAATGATATACCAAAAAAATGTAAATTTAGATATGCCAACATAGGTACTTTATTGGATAATAATAAATTGTTATTGGTAAACCTAACAACACCCATACCAATAATGGAAGATTATTGGAATTCCTGAACACCTTTACCAATAAGATACCAATGGTATACCAAATTCAATCAACATTTAACTGTAACATCTGCCAATATTGGTATTTCAGTGGATAATGATTGGGAGTTCTATCAAGATACATACCAATAATGGAAGATTATTGGAATTCCCGAACACATTTACCGATAAGATAACAATGGTATACCAGTTTAGGTGAACATTTCACTATAACATCTGCCAATATTGGCATTTCATTGGATAATGATTGGGAGTTCAAGCAAGATACATAGCAATAATGAAAGATTATTGGAATTCCTAAACACATATACCATAAGGTACCAATGGTATACCATTATTGAATTGAATGTTAGACACATGTACAGATAGAAATTATATGTAGCTATAATTTTATTGAAAGCATTCAAGCATGCATACACTGTATCAATGTGGCCAATGATTATTGTAGAACCTTGTGAAGAATAGAATGGAGTTTCTTTACACTGTTAATGGGGTGTTTATTTGGCAAGTAGTGATGAAAAGCTGAATTTGGTACCATCTGTATCATCCACATTTGCATCAGAATACCTGACCCGTTTTCGCGTACGACGCCATGCAACCATTGGGTAAACCGCTCGATCTTCGCACTTCTCACTAGGGCAATGAACATGTGCTTGACCTTTCGATGTAAAGTTCCTCGCTACTGGGGTTTTCGAACATTTACAAATATTATGCTTTTCCATACTCGTGTTTCTCTGAAACCTGAAACACTCTTCAATGTCGAGAAAGATCTGGGGACAAAGCTCGTGCCAGTTCTTCTCTATGCGCAGGCGAAATGCGCAATAGTTTCGCGCCTTCGTTGTTCATCCAACTTCGTGTGGGCAGGAGAAATGGCTTCCGAAGTTCTGCTTCTAGCTCTTCTTGCAGCGAATTGGAAGCCGGTAATGATGGCCTGGACATGTGAAAGACGAAATATGTTAAATGTGAGTTTTTGTTAGAAGCCAGAATGAGTAATACGTCGCATTACTCTGCTGCTGAATAACCTGCATTGCGCACCATCGATCCTGCATAGTTCTTGGTAATTTTCACAAGCTAACTTTTCAATTCAAGTCCGTTTTGCTCTCACAAATGTAACGTGGTAGTTTCTACATGTTATTAACTCAGGCTGGACTGTGGAGGACATGAAGAACTGGCTCACTTTCCAGGGATTTAAAGAGGAAGCAGCCCTTTTTTCAAGTAAGCTAAAACTAGCTGCGGTATTTAAGCTTACTAAGCTGAAGCTTAATAAGCTTACAAGTCATGTACAAGGAACTTCACAATTTCCTGGGACTACATATTCCTAAGAATAAATAAGTAAATAAATAAATGGGTAAGCCTTTTTGTCATAGCTTGAGAGCTCGCAGGCTAATAAGTCAATATTTAATTTGTGACCATCTGTTGCTAATTTTTGCTTTCCCTAAGTTGTACTTATTGAGACAATTTTTTGAACAGATATTCTGGCAGTGTTCATCACCATTTTCTCTGGATTGTTTGGGAAGCTAACTTGGTTTACAATGTTTTTCAAATAATTTTTTTAACTACCCATACAAATTGTAAGAATCGCAAGCATTTTACTGCCAACATTTGAGGGTAACCTGGAGTCACATTTTACCTTTTGCAGCAGGGGTACTAAAGCATTTGAGAGTAATGCATGGATGCTTTCTAACTGCTGCATGTAACATTCTACAGCCACATAGCTAGAATTTCTTCACAAACAATTTTCCTTTTGTCCTTTTAATTCATGACTTTTCCACAAAATGGTTAGCTAACAAAAACTGCTCCAAGGTTTGCTAAGGTTTTTTACATGTTCATTATTGTTGTTGATTTCAAATAATTGCTTTTCTCCACCGAAAACAGGCTGAACACACACCTGCAAAGAGGGCCAAAAAACCCTGCTCTGGATCTAGGGCTGAGTCAACATGTAATACAGCAGAGTAAGGTACATGTAATCCCTTAACCTATTGACGTCCAGTGTGCCCATGGGGAGCCACACCCTTTCTACGCCTTGTGACGTCATCACTTTTAACCCTGGAGCACGAATTTGAGCACGTACTTGAACAGGTTGAAAATATCTTA